TAAATACAACCCGTATACATAAAAATAATATTGAAGAAAACCCCAAAATATCCGTTTATTAATCTATCCGAATGAATTGAAATGAAACAACGATAAAAAAACAACATAAAAGCAAAAAAAAAAGCATCATAATTAAACAAATGGAGAAAATACGTATAAAATATCCTCACCCTAAGAATATCTTAAAATAAAATTAAACCAGAAAACTAAGTGATATTTAAAGTATCTCTAATAAAATAGCCAAAAATATGTATAAATAAAATAGAGAATGGCAAAAAATAAAAATAAAAATAATAATTATGAAAACGTTAAACATTTTTTACTCCAAGGGGATTCTAAGATTTCTACGAAGCGAACAGTAACCTATTAAAAAAATGCTGAATGTATTGTCATTTAAATTTTGGGGTGTTTATCAATCGATAATTTTCCGCATCCCCAAGTAGTTGAAGCGAGTTCAAGTGAAGATTATTCAAGATGAAAGAGTGTGAAGAAAAAGAACGATGATTTTTTTTTCTTTTACTATCGTGACACTTTGTATATATGCAAATGTCTAGAAAAAGGTTTAAGGTGACTTCATCAAAATTCGGTTTTATCAAGAGACCAAAATTGAATATTAAAGTAGATTTCTTCAATTATTTAAAAAATTAAAGACATTTTTTATTTCCTTATTTCTTTTTTTGCATTAGTTTCTTTCATTATTCCGCGATGTTTTCTTTCTTTTTCTTTTTTTTTTTCATTTCTTGCTATCTTACAGTCTTTTCTTCTTTCTTTTGTTTGTTTTCAGCATTTTCTTTTCATTTATTTCATTGTTTCGCTCTTTCCTTCTTTCAGTCCGTTTTTCTTTCTCCTCTATTCAAATTTTTGTTTGTTTGTTTGTTTTTTTGTTTCTTTCTTTCTTTCTTACACGTCATTGTATTTCATCATTTCATCATTGTTTTATTTCTTTCACTGTCTTATTTCTTACCTTTCTTCTTTCTTTCATTTTTTTCTTGCTTCTTTACATTGTTTTCTTTTTTGTATTCTTTAATTTTTTCTTTCATTGTTTTCTTCCGTCTTTATTTCATTGTTTCCTTCTTGCTTACATTTTTCTTTCTTTCTTTTTTATTGTTCTTTGTTTGCTTCTATCTTTCTTTTATTTTTTTTATCCTTTCTTTCATTTTTCTTCTTTATTTAATAGGTTTCTTTTTTCTTTCTTTCTTTGTTTTCTTCTTTCGTTTTGTATTCTTTTGTTCTTCATATCATTGTTTCTTTCTTTGTTTTCTTCTTGTTTTCATTGGTTTTTTTCTTTCTTTCATTGATTGTTCTTTATTTTCTTCATTTTCCCTGTTTTATTCTTTTTCTTTCATTGTTCTTGCTTTCATTAGTTTCTACTTTCTTTCATTAATTGTTCTTTCTTTCATTGTTTGTTTCTTTCATTGTTTTCTTTTTCATTGCTTTCGTCTTCCTTATATCTTTCATTGAATGTCCTTTTATGCTAACCTTTTATTTTCTTCTTCTTTTCTTAATAGTTTTCTTCTTCCTATCTTTCATTCATTTTTTCTTTGTTTTATTCTTTCTTTCATTGATTACTTCGCTTTTTCTTTCCACCTTTCCACCTTTCTTTCTTTCTTTCTTTCTTTCTTTCTTTCTTTCTTTCTTTCTTAATCATTATCTTTTTCACTTCTTTCTTGATTATTCTGTTACATTTTTCTATCTTCTTTGTCCCAGAACAATTTTCCAGTAGAGATGGAAATTATATTTACCGATTTTAACCCCCTGAAGTATTTCTGCGACCAGAACCAGTATATCCATTTTCCTGATATCAATCTATGACGAATCCTTTATTATCATATGAAAAGAACTGCTGAAAAATTCTCGACCAGATTCATAAAATACGACCATCGCATTTTCTTTCGGAAATGGGCTTTTCAGAAAAATCCTAATAAAATAAAAGAATAACATCAAAGCTTTATATATTCTTTCTCTTTAATGCCACTGCTGCAAAGAAGTACATCATATTTATCTCCCTTGCAATGGCAATGCCCGGTGGCAGTGTCTCGCAAAGGAAATGACGGATTGTTCGAATTAATAAAGTAAAGTAAGAATAATCTCTATGAACTTACCGAAAGACCAAAATGAAACATTGTTGGATTTGTTGTTGTGTTTTTTTTACGGTTTATCATCCATTCGCGTGTCTGCTATCAACACTGCGCCATCTGTATATCTTATGTTATTAAGATTGTGGCTGCCAATAAAGAATCTTCCAAAAAGTGTATTCATCTGCAGTCGACAAATCTTGTCCGTTTATATGTGGAAGCCATCTCTATATCTATACTCTTCGAGTTATAAGATGTTTTAAAAGACAGTTATATGGAAATTAACGCTTTTCAAATGTGTACAAACGTTGCTGATGCCAGATTAGTCCGTTTTGTTTTTTGCTTGAAGAACGACATAAACAATCCCAGACCTCTTTCTGACTTGCTGCTTTCCCCACAGATATACACATGGACGAAAGCATGAACACAAAGAAGCGCTCACAGAAGTATGAACACCATTGGCATTAATCAAGTGTGCCGACTTACGCCGCCTCTTCCAAGATCATCTTCTTCTTCTATGTGACGCGTCCCTTCGGGATGTGGCTAGTCATGGCTCTCCACCATTTTCTTCTCATTGTAGCTCTTAGTAAATTTGTCCTTTTGATCTCACTCTCAAACTCTGTTGTGTCAAACTAGCTCGTTAAGTAGCCTATGCCTGGTTTTGCTCTCCCTGTTGACTTCGATGTGTCCTGTGGTTGTCAAATTTTCTAAGCGCAGGATTCTTATTTTATTATAAGGCTGCAATTTCGGTAACTGTTTAGGTTTTTGCTGCAAGCGAGACAACTGTATTTATCTCCCTTGGATTCAGGAGGACTGTTGACAGTGACTTTGCTATGAAAATGGTTCAGTGGTAAAATGAACAATGCAAAGAATACTAAATACAAGTCTAAGAAACAAACATTTTAAATTAATGACCAACAAAAAACACACACACACATAAACAACTAAAGACGTTAAAAAGAAAATTGCTGGACATCCAGAATTAATCGATAAAAAATGAATAGAAATCGTTATGAAATGAATGCTGACTTAATGACATAAAACAAATATGTCTGTGTGTCTTTGCAGCTAAGAGAAAAAGTGATTTTATAAATTGTTCTATTTTCTTGGACATCAGTGCTCATGTCTTTTGTTTAAAGATAGAAAACCAAAAAAAAAAAAAAAGAAAGAAAAAACTTCCATATTCAATGTTATATTTAATTTAACGACATTGACGAAAAGAAAGGCGTCTGTACACCGTGAACTTCCCCTTGCCTATTGAATACTTTCGCATGACTAATATGATTTGCGATGTTTTATCAGATTAAAAAGGAAACAAATAACCCCCTTTGATCAGCAAGATACATTTTTCAACGTAAATGCTTAATGCTTACTATCAGATAAATTTAAAAATGTCTCACAAGCGTAGGGAGCAGTTAAAAAAACAGCACATATCTAAACCTTGAATAAAAATGGTAGAAGCATTTGGTTGCGCATAGTTGAATCAGCTGATGAATAACGACGTCATGAGAGTGTCCCTGGAATTGATTTCTTTGATTCAACTATACGCAACCCTGGCGTCTAATACAGCATGGCCACCAGGTTGAATATACTGCCAATGGTCACTTACAGATGAACCGTCACCTAAAATAAGAAATACTTTTCCGAACCCCGGTCTACATCACCGAACAGTCAGGGCGCTATTTGAGCATGACTATATTTACGATGGAAAAGAAAAAAAAATAAGGATATAAAATAACAGTTTATTTTATGATGTTTAAATGAGCCGGATATTTGACAGATTATTTTACGCCGTTTATGTGACTGATTACCCCCCACCACCACCACCACTTTCCACCAAAAAAAAAAAAAAAAAAAACAACTTGTACCTTCAGGACGTAGCCGATGTGGATCTCCGCAGGTTCTTTTTCATTCCATAGAATTACGTGCTATCTTGTGATTTTCGTTAACTTTTACATGATTTGATTTTGAGGGTTTTTCTTCGCGACTAGTGGCCACGCAAGGCCGGAGATCCCCGTCTATAGTGTTAGTTAATTGCCGTAATTCTCAATTCAACCATAATACGCACTCGTAAAAATGTGCTGAAAGTGTGAGAAATGCTTCTACTCATGCATAATACGCACCACTTGTTTAGTAAACAAACCTTATAAATTGTACCCCACCAATTTCATTACGGCCAGTGTTTCCTACACTTAATTAAAAAATGATTTTATTAATTAAAAAATGATTTTAAACATAGAATAAAATTATTCTAATTTAGTTTTATGATAAACTTTATTTTATTTTACGGCTATTTTAAAGATTTTTTTGTAGGTGAACATAATACGCACCCCTAATTTTGCTTATAATTTTTAGAAAAAAAAATGCGTATTATAGATGGCGAATTACGGTTGTAGCTGGATAGGGGTAGACTGAACAGGTTTATGCTATTTCAAAGACCGTTTGTGCAAAAGCAAGCATAAAAGACTTGGCCTGACTTTGGACTCTTCCTGTCGATTTCTCTGTTCGTGATGATAAAAGTTACGCGATACGCATGTCCTTTGATTACTTAATACAAAATACAGAACATTGCGTAAATATAGGGAAAATATAAACTTATATAGGTAATTTTTTAGAAAAAGAAAATATCTATAAATACAACATAAATGGTATAGGAAATAAATGAAGTAATGTATCATGATCAATGATGGGCTTCAAGGGATTCGCAACAAACTATTTGCTTAAATTACACAAATTTGCAGAAACAGTTCTTAAAATTAAGAATCTTGGACATTTATATTCACCGATAAAAAAAAAAAAAGAAAAAAAGCATGTAAAAAAGATTAGTTATCTTAGTAAAGCCTAATAAGAATATGAAAGTAAATGCATACTTAAAATTATTGTTTATTGTCTTCTGGACTACGTCAAGTCTTCCTGGCACATCACGTTGAAACACCGGTTCTCGTCCAATCAATGAAGTTAAGCAGCTTTGAGCTTGGACAGTACCTAGATAGGTGACCGCTTGGGAATAAACAGATGCTGTAAGCTTGGATGATATTGGAATATAAAGCTTCGTTAAATAATAACAATATCTTTCTGATCAGGTAAAACGGAAGCCTGTTCTTTCTGTACAGATGCTTGTTTTTGTTTGGCGATATATCAGAATGAATGGGTTAGTTAATGATAATATCTAAATGTTATGAACAAGTTTTATGCCTTCAACCAGAGATAAAATGTCTTGTTGGTAATTCAACTCTAAAATGTCTTGGTATTTCTGCTATAAAATATCTTGTTGGTAATTCTGCTCTAAAATATCTTGTTGGTAATTCTGCGATAAAATGATTTGCTGGCATTTTTTTTACTATAAAACGTATATTTATATTTTCACGGTGATTTTTCTTGTTTGGGGTTTCACTATTTGCCTATAGCTGGGACAAGTGCTACTACCAAGGGTCAGGGTGGACCTGGGAACAACAACAATTAAAGGTGGTTCCATCCTCCACAAAAGCTCCAATCTACCGATCGGAAGCCCTGCCTGTGAAGATGTAAACTGAAAGCAGCCATTTGGTATGAAATTTGCTGAATTTCTAACACTCAAATTAACAGTCACTTTACAAGTTTGAGAAAAAAATTAAATGGTTCTTGCTGAAGATTTGTCAGGTAGAGAGAAATGGTCTTTAACTTCACAGTTTGCCAAAAAGCAAACGAACGATCGAAACTTCAAAAATGAACGCCGGGTGTCACTGAACTTTAAGGATTTGATTCTATATCTCCAAGATATAGAATCAACGACCTGAGAAATTTAACTCGCCGATATGTGTCTTTTTTCAAGTGAGAAGTTATAAGTGCGTGTTTGTAAAGTTATGGCATTTTTAGCTGGTGTAGCTGCGAAAAGAAAAGTCGAAAAATACGAAATGTCATATGCCAATACCAAGATGAAAATATGAGACTTGTCCCCAGGGTTACTATAAAGCGCATCCATGAGGAAAATCGAATGAAATGGACACCAGAATATATGAAGACCTTTTTTTCAACCGCTTCTTTCACCAATAAGTGCCGTACACCATTCGATAGCCAAGATTGAAGGTTTTATGTTTGGGAGTGGGAGTAAAGGTTGGCACATGAATAATTGCAGATTATATTAACTAAATTTAATTACAAAAGATTTAATATTAGAGGGACCCAGGAATCCCCAAAATAAACTCAGGTGTGCCATTAACTTTACCAACATACCAATATATAAATGATTGATTTATTTTCTACGGCTTATCAGACCATTGCAGATTATTTACATTATTCGGACTATTGTCCTCATCTTTGTCACCATATTTATTACAACGTTTCGGCCGTTGTAAGCCCCGGCCTTCTTCAGGTGGTTGAAATGTCGAACTGAACCGTTTTTTTCGCTCGCTGGGGTAGACTGTTCAAGTTCCATGTGTCATGTCTAATGGATGTTAGTTATCAGTTATCTCCTGTAAATTAACCTCTCCGAGTTCTCCACTGCCTTAACCAGGTATTGAACTCACAACGATTTGCGTCCTGTCACTGGATCTACCCAACGCCTTTATCCACTGTGCCATTGATGTAAATAGTGTACATATTACCTCATCTCAGAAATATTGACAGACCATTGCAGGTTATTTTAAGATACCATTTGATTTTTATTGTAAGAATATTTAGCGAAAGTAATTATTTACTGATACAAGTCTTACACATTAACCCATAGCTGGAGGGAGAAAAGGTGGATTCATACCTTTCCCAGGTGAATATAACAAAACAGGGTAGAATTGGACCTCGACTCTCCGATTTTCAATTCAGAGCCATTACCCATTACACCGTCCACACACCCAAAATTACACCACAGGTATTCCTGAGCAGCCACTTATTTTGGTACAGCCCAGGCTCGTCGTTGCTTAACTTTGGTTACCGTACGGGAACAGGTGATTCAACGTTATATGGCTGTAAGCTATTGAGAGTCAGTGGCTAATAAAATTGGAAACTTGTTAAAATGCAGTCGAATTGATACAATATTGGAAAATTTGATATGTCTACAACATATTAGACAATACCACTTATTAGGCAAATTTATATAAATAGATGATGGAATGGAGAATATAAAGAAAGGTAAAAAGACAAATAATAGGATGTCGTGGAGAGACCTGATTGCTGACGTCCGGAAGGAAAGCAGAACGAAGAAGAGGAGTAATCGTTTGAGATACAGTATATAAAATGAGTTATGGTGATAAAATGATGATGGTAGATTGATTGATTTGTTTGTTTAACGGTATATCAACTCATTATGGGTCATTTAATGCTGATATTTATTGAATACTAGCAGTAGAGCCCGGCGTTGCCCGGGGATGTAACAGTAAGAGATCGATTAAGTATCGACCATCATAAAGACTGAAAAATAAAATTGACAATGATTATTGTTTAAAGTTGACGGACACGCATGTCTTAATTATTTTTTTTTTTTAAGAATTGGTCAAAACCAAACTCAAACAAAAACATTGTTTTCGATCGTTACGAGTCTACCGATTAAATAGAATTTTATTATAAACAATTGTCTTTTAAATGGAATTTTTAAAGCATTCTGAATGTAAAAATAAAGAAAAAAGTGTGCAAGACAATAAGAAACACTACCTGCCAAAAAGAAAGTGAAATTTTGTTGAAATCGGTTGAAAAATGTAGGAAATCCGATCTCATATATAAACGAACACACACTGGGCACCTCGGCGTGGTGTAATGGTTAGCAAGCTTGTCTCGCTAGATCAGTTGCAACTGAAAAGTGAGTTCGATCCTCACTAGATGCCCCATAATTTCGGCCTTGTGCCACATCTAAGCTACGCTTGGAAAATAACTTTAAACGAACACACACACACAAACAACGTGGGTTTTATAATAAGTATAATTCGATATGAGTTGTCCCCCTTTCATTCTCGAAACAGCGATGCCTCTTAATCGTGTTTTCAAATTGATTTCGTGCAAAAACAATTGTGTTTTTCCAATTTTTGGCACTGTCAGAACCACCGCAAGGTAATTTTACGTAGTCCTGTGAAGTTTTGTTGAAATCGGTTGAGAAATGTAGGAAATCCGATCCAATATATAAACGAACAGACACACACACAACCTGGGTTTTATAATAAGTATGATTTTGAACACAGTTTTATGTCTTCAATTAAATATATTTTGAACGCAATGGTATACCTCCCACTAGTAATAAAATGTATTCTTGGTCATTTTACTATTTGTGTTGTCGTAATTCTAATCTAAGTTGTATTGCTGGTCATTTTACTTTAAAGTTTTATTGTAGGTTATTATACTATAATGTTGTTTTGTAGTATTTTTCATATGAATATGTATCATTGATAATTTTACTATAAATATGTATTGTTGGTATTCTTTTATATATCAATATGTATTGCTGGTATGTTTACTATAGAAATGTAATTTTATACTTCCATAGTGTTTCAGAATTTTTCCCAGAGCTGGGAATCTAACAGGTGTTACTACCCCGTGTTAAGGTAGACCCGAGAACAACAGCAATTACGAGGTGGTTCCACGCTCCTCAGGATCTCCAGTCCCTTGGTCAGCGGCATTGCTGACGGGTGTAAAGTAACGTCATGCCCAGAACTGGCTGATAATAGAAACAACAAGGAAAAGGCGGTAAAAAAACAAAAGGTATAAAGTGGAAGAGTCGAGAATGTAAACTGATGCCCGCGACCCGAGATCATTTTGTCAACGTCGAAGTAGCTTCTCTTCAACATATCTTTGGATTGACGTTTGAGCCGATGTGAAGAAAAAGAGCTCATTTTACAACAAATATCAATTCGGTAGTAAAACTGAAGAAAAACCTAGTTTCGTTATTCCGAGGTCGATAATTGACCCTTGGAACATATTCGATGCTATATCTCTATGCATTGTCTTTTATTTTAGAACCTCGAATGCCCCTCTCTTCATCTCTAACTGCGACTGTCTCTACATTGTCGCGGACGTCTCGTGATTCATTTTTCCATCACAACAGACATCGCGCTAGTATGGGGACGGATCATATAAGGCAACAAACAGAATTCAGTTTCACATTCAGATAAAATCGTTTTCAGCTCATTCGACTTCGTGGGTATATCTAGCGGGGATATATTCTGTAACCTGAGGATAAAGTCGAACTCAAAAATGAACTGTTATAGAAGGAGAAATAAAAAAAATCAAAATTGAAAAAAAAGAAAGGGGAATAAAAGAACAAAGTGGAAGAAGAAGAAGAAGAAGAAGAAGAAGAAGAAGAGGGAGAGAATACAGCATAAGTTTAATAAATAACAAAGAATAGCAATAGATTAAACGAATAATTTGTAGAGTAAATAAGAATGAGGAAGAAGTTAAAAAATAGAAAATAAAATTAAGCGAAAAGAAAGCATGAAAGAAGAAATAAATATAAATAAATGTAAGAGAAGAAGAGGTAAAAAAAGAAATTATTGTAACCTAGAAAAGGTTTTTGAATGAGGAATAACCAAAAAGGAGGTTTGAAATAAAATGGTAATCTTTATAACATCAACAAAATACAATACTCGCCAGCGACGTGAAGTAGGTAAACAACTGCTTGTCGTGGACTACGTAGACAGTATATTACGATATTTCCCTGTCTCCTCGCGAGGTAAGTTGTGGTACAATGCCAAATTAAATGTGAGGTAAACCGTGGGTTCGAGCAAAGTTGCCCGTCGACCCCGCATACGGTTTTCTGTGTACCTCCCCGGACGAGACTCTGCCAAAGAGCAGAGTCTCGTCCGGGTTTCTGTCTGCACAAAGGCAGAGAGTTCGACACGGCAAGAGCTTCCCACACTGGCAGCCTACGATGCCTGCTTTGGCAGCATATTACTCCCACTTACAATAGTGTACAACGTATTTATGAGGATTGTAACATACCAATGAGTGTTCATAGGTAAGGTATATAACAGAAATGGAAAAAAATAAACGAAAAAAGAAGAAAATGAAAAATGAAAATGAAATGAGAAAAAAGAAGAAAAGAATAAAATATCAGAAAGGAAGAATTTA